AAGATTGTGAAGAAACTGTCACGTGGTAGCAGACACCACTCCTCTTCTAAAGTAAAGGAGCAGCAGCCACTGATAGAACACAAAGGGAACACTAAGGAATGGATACTGAAGGAGGGAGAGGTAAGGATGGAGCAGCTGGTATCAACTGACGTATTCATATTCTGTTTTGTAGTTACCATCAGATGATTTCACTTCTTTTAAGACCTGGTATGATAATGGATTATCTACTGTTGGTGGTAGCGGTAATTATTATGACACCATTTTAAATAATAACATACTCCCTTGCCTTCAGTTCACAAATAAAGAGGTGAGCAGTCAATTAATTAAATAAGTAATATTATTGATTATATTAATAGTTATCGGATAAGGTCCATGCAGCTATTAAAGGAGAGAGTATTGTATTGGAACCAGTGACTGGTGAGGTGTTGAAGGAGGGGGAGGAGTCAAGCACTCCAGCTGTTAAAAAGTAACACTACATGTACATGTTCATGTACACGTGTACTCTCTTCCATTAGGTGTGAGCTAAGTGGAGAGGAGTCTGTCCCTTGTACTTTTAAAATGCGTTTGAGTGAATCCTCTGGCTGGATATGTGTCACAACAACTACCAGAGAGAGGGTATGTCCCATCAGTATCAGTATCAGTATCAGTGTCAGTATTAACATGTACTCCTCCTCTCTCTGTCCCTCTAGATTGTTAGTGTCTGTGATTTTTACACTTTTATAAGTTACGTACAAAAAGGAATAATAAAGAAAGAAGGTTAATTAGTTTTATTTATTTATTTATTTATTTATTTATTTATTTTATTAATTAGTTACTGATGTTTACTGGAGGGTTGCTAAGCTACGTGCAATGATGTGTCTATCTGTCCTGTCCCTGTCCCTACCTGACACTGTCCAGTGACTAATGGCCACTTCCTATTGATGACTTCTTGTTGCTGTACAGAAATGAACTTATTTTTATTTTTTTATTATTAAAATTATATTGAAATTCATTAACTAATGGGTGGGGCGGGTGTACCGGAATTATTCTAATTAAACGAAGTACGAGAAATTTTATAAGTCTAATTATTCTGGAGTTTTGGTGTCAACACAATGGCGACTCTTTTTAGAAAAAATGAAGAATGTTAGTCATAAAATGCTTTAAAAGTATTTGGTAGCTATTGTTTTTAGTGCACGAGCTACAGAGAGAAGCAGTGAAGGCTTTACAAGTGGGAGCAATACCTCACCACGGGCCAGTGGAGCTCCAGGAGGAGGAGAACTATGTGATGCGTAAGAACAACAATGGTATTTGTTTGTTTATTGTTTGTTTGTTGTTGTTTAGTGGTTGGAGAAGAGAGAGTACGTCTTCAACCTCATGCATTAGAAGATCCTCAAGTGCAACACTTGATAAAAGTAAGTATCACTGGCACTGGAGCTGTTTACTAGAGTCCGTTGGTTTACCA